GTAAATTGAGTTTATGATATGTTGTATCGGGGCGGACAATATATGGCGGAAATGTTTATTCCACCAGAATTGTCATATATATGAACTGAGGTAGCGTGAAGGTAGACTCCATTATATAATGTTTAATTTTTTGCCTGATAGGTATTCCAGTTCCACCGCGCCCTTTTCCTTCAGGGTGTTTGGTGTCATAAAACAAAAATATATCAATATTGAAGTTGTTAAATTTGGTCAAATGAGTTTCGGAGATTAGCTTTATATCTATTGCTTGACTTTCTGAGAAAAGTTAATTTTTATTTTTGTGTTGAACCAAGCCGTTTGCGTTCCAATAACATATCCCAAGATCGTTCATGGCTTAGGCGAAATCGCTTGAAGGAGGAGATTTTGATTTTGAATTAAATCTTGCATCATTCTTTGCATTGATGTCATATGTTCTTGCATCATACGTAAAAGTTGTTTAGCGTATTTTCAAGTGAAATAACAGTTGGAACGGACAGGATGGACGTTTATTGCGTTGGGAGCTAAGGTACACCTTTTAAATTTTGGGCTTTTGTAAGCTTAGTTTTGGCATATTTTGCTTGAGGCTCAGAGGCAGGAATGTTGCTAGAAACCTTTTTACTGCCCCTGGTCTTTTAGGGAAACATATATTGTACGCCGCCATTAATTTGCGGTGTGATTTTCACCGCAATTGCTACACTCAGGGGCTGTTTTAGGTTTCATACAGTTTTTTTAACTATGTAAATCTCCACAATTGACACAAATACTTTGCAAAGTGCAATATCGCTTCGTCTGTCCAAATTCTTGACAATTATGGCACTGAACAGGACCTGTTCGCTTATGTGGTTCTTCCATGGAAATACGACGGTGAAAAAGGTACCGCAGTTTGTAAATGGGATGCTTCTCTCTTTTTAAGAGCAGGAAATCTGTCTCAATATCAACCCTATGCATTGGATTAGGTATGTTTGCCTTATTTTTAATATTGAATACGTTTCTAACCCTGAAACCTTCTTCTATCGAGGCACTTTCTATTTCAATGCCCTTTAGGATGACTGCTAAGCTACGACTAATTTAAAGCTGGAACGTATAGAAGGACTTCTTTTCCTTTCCGAAGTCACCTGCCACTTTGCGATTGCTATCTTCTCCGTAGGCTTGCGCTTTAACTTCCTGGGTATTTCCCTTTTTAATTGGGACTACATGGAAGTAATTTTTTCCAATTAGATTAATCAATTTGTTGACAAGGTTGTTAAAGTTCGCTTCTCTAAGATAAATTGGCTGCGGATTGGACGTTTTCTGCACACGCACTTAATCATCAGCTTCAGAAAGTAATAGTAGTTGATTATTGCACATGCTGTTTTGATTTTGTTCACCATTTTTTTGTGGTGACCATTTAATTTTTACAATGATGTAGCGATCGATTCCCGTTTGAATTACTGCTTTTTTTGCAGCGCTTTTTGCGGAAAACTTTAGAGTCTCGACTCAAGAAGGAGCTGGAGGAGTTGCGGGAAGGGGCGATTAAGCCCATGAAGGGGCTGGTAAAGTAGTCCTAGAAGAGATTACAAGAGCCGAAGACGCATTCGTTGTGTTCGCTGTTGGTGCTTTTGTCCTGACGCTTGTTGTTGCTAATGGGTTTGGTTAGCGTTTTCACGTTGTGGTGACCGGTTTGGTCCCATTGGATGAGAAAGTGTATGTAACGAGTAGAATACGGCTTTTCGTAGCGACAAGGAGACGTAAGAAAGGACAATACCTGAAGAAATATCACAGTATAGGCTGACGTTGTGCTCTGGGAATTTCAGTCTTTGTAACTGGAGCGCAATGTTGGGTTTAGCAATGAGTTGTTTAAGCTCTGCGTCGTTTTCTTGCGCGGTGGATAGCCGATGTGCTGAGACGGAAGGTGAAACTGCTTCGATATTCGAATATTCGAATTGGTTAATCAAGTCTATTCGGCGAAATTGCCAAGCAAAAAAATTGCATGAAGTTCACAATGATGTTGACAACTTGCAGATTGATCCCGGTAGCGTTTGAATATAAAATGCTAACGGCTGCCATATGTGACTTAGGTTTTGTTGTAGTACGGCGTCAACCGCTGTGCTGGATGCATCACTAAAAATCTCCAACTCCGCATTTATATTAGGACCTGTAAGAATATCACTAAATGGTGCGAGCAGTTCTACCGCATTTTTTATAAATTTGCGGTAAAAATTCATCATCGGTTGTTGGTGGAGATAGATTTCGAATAGCACTAACTTTTTCTGGTAGCGGTTTAATTCCTCTGTTTGTAATGTGATGGACGAGAAATTCCGCTTCGCTGTGGCCAAAAGTTGATTTAGCGATGTTGATAACAAGGCTGTAGTCTTCTAAGCGCTGGAAAATTATTTTAAGATTCTTGAGGTGTTCTTGCGCGTCGGCTGAGGCTACTAAAATGTCGTCGATATATGGAGATCACGTGTTACTTCGTCTATAAATCTCAGAAATGTTTGTGCAGCATTTCTGAGACCAAACGTCATGTATGGGAACTCAAATAACTCGAAACGAGTTATTATCGCAATTTTTGAATATCGTTTTCAGCTCCTGGTACTTGATTAAATGCTATGATGAGATCTGTGGTAGAAAATATAGATTTCCCATAAAGATTGGAACCAAACATGGCCTGGATTCGCCTGAATTTTTGGGCACCAAGTGTAGTAGTGACGACCACGGGCTAGCTGATGGTCGAGCAATTCCCATTTTTAATATTTTGCCGAATTCGTCTTTTGCGATCTTTAATTTGAGTGGGGCTAGAGGCCTTGCTTTGCACGAAACCAGAGGACTTTCTGTTGTTTTTATATGATGCACCGTGGAATGTTTTGTTTGCTTGAAAGCACCGTCTGGTCAAGTGATAGATGGAAATGTTTGTATCAAAGAAATATATGTTGATGAAATTTTGGGAATTTTGCTTACATCCTTGTATGCTTATTCCTGATTTCTCGTCCCTAATGCAGTGTTGTTTCAGGTCGACTAACAAACCGAAGTGGCTTAAAAAATCGGAACCAATTATCGGCTTCGTTACATCGGCAATGAAAAATCGCCATGTCAATCGCGTCGTAGCCCAAAGTTCAGCGTGCCTAATGGCAGTAGGTGTATTTTAATTTACATCAGCTCCCGCATCTACGACAAATTGTGTCCCCAATATGCGATATTTCTGAGAGAGAGTCTTTGACCGCCCCCACTGCCACTCCTTTAAGTTTTCCGCGAACTTGCAACCAGAAATACGACGTTGGGCATCTTTACCGAACCTTTTATGATAGCCACAGATACTACCTGCTGATGGACGTGTGCGGTTATGTGAATCTTTACGCTTATTACGATACGACGTATTAAGCTCATGGAACCTTTCCGTAGCTCAGCTAATTTTGAGCGCAAGGAAGGTTCTTCCGAAACCTCAGCTATAGAGTTTGATACGTGTATTGTACTTCGTGTATTTTGCCTGCCAATCTACCTAGGTCGCCTGATGGTGCATTGGGTTGTGCTGCGAGACAAGAACGTGTTTTACGTGGAAGTTGCGATTGCTACCTTGCTTTAAGAACGTCGTCTGGCACATCTGAACATAAACTTCGTAGGTGTCAAAAGAATTGTGATAGAGATGGAATGATAGAGCGAATTCTGAATTGATGTTCTAGCTGGGCAAACCACAACCCTGGACGTTCAGGTGAAAATGGTGGTGAGAGTACTGAAACATCCCTTGGAGTAGTTGTCAGCGACGCTGGTGATGAAATGACATTTGCTTGTGTTGGCATTCGATAATTTGAATGATTGGAAACTGCTGATTCCTTAGATGTTTCCGGGGCATTTATTATGTTGCACGTCGTATTTCGTACGATGAAGACGGTTTTTTGAAGATCCAAAAAAATACGTAAAATCGGTAGTTGGCAACGACGTGGTCTAACCAGCATACATATTCTCCAACGCAAAGAATAATGTAGATAGAGCTTTCAGAGTATTGAGGGAATTTCTCAACTGACAACAATTGAGTGGCTCTTAGTATGTATATGGAGGAGTTGCCACAAATAATATATACCTATATATGTACGCGTATATGAGATAATGACCTAATCTGACCAGTCTCCAAAATTAAGGGAGTCGTTCGCGTCTAAAGAGTGGAAAAGATAGGCAGACGGTATGAATATTGTTCGGTGCTCTGCTCTCAAACTTATTAAAATAAAAAGCATACAATAGAAAAGGACTCGATGGTCGATCGAGTTTTAACGATGGTTATAACAAAACGAAGATGAAAATAAGATAAAGAAGATAAAAAGTAAGATTTTTATTTGTTTACAGAAGTGATATATAGAGAATGCACATAAGTTTGAGAATATATATACATATAATCCAATGCGTCGAGTACATATTTCACGGGTGAAAGGAGTAGTTGCAGTATTTGCCGGGTACTCTTATTTAATGCCCCTGAAATATAAATTTAAAATTAGGTTACCTCCCAGCCGTACCACCCGACTGGAAGAGGGTAATGCATACACTAATTACCAACACTGCTAACAGCGATGAAATATTACCAGCTCAAAGTGTGCTTGCATACTCTCAAACAATTTATAATTTCAGCATGCTCGTATCGTCGGGGAAATGAATGAAATTTTCATTCCGTCTTCGGGTCTTGCCGGGCTTGACTGCGAGCTCCTCCCACTATTTGTCCTTATGTGTGTAAACTTGCCGCCGAATCTTCTTATTGATATCTCTGATAGAGGGATGTCTGGGATCGGAATTAGCAATGGAATCGTGCCTAGAGGCTAGTTCCTGCACTTCCGTGGGAAATTCGAGCGGATTTACGCAATTTGGTATGCCGTGATGAAGCGGGCGGCAGCGGTCAGGACAATCCTGGGGAAAGAAGATTCCCGACAGTGACATCAGTTGGGGCAAGTTCCATGAATCCAGTTCAGTTAGCTTTTTAAATGTTAACAAACGTCTGGTGGCCCACGAAACCAAAGTCGGGAGGCCTGTCAATCGAGATAAGTATGGGTAAGTAGTGCGATGATAACGTCAGTATAGGCGGCCAGACTATGCTGTTTATCAGACCAGCACATGCAACTGTTATGTCTAGTGCCCTTTCCCTGAACTCTGGTGGGGCGTCATCGTTCATGGTGTAAAAAGTGGAATCGCCTATTTGTTCTGTTAGATTCCTCACCCTTCGGTTATTTTACAGGGTAGAATGGTCTCGCCCACGATTCTTGCGGATGACGTTGCATCCGGCCCGGCTCTGAACATCTGATAGGGGGTCTTTTGTTAATCATGGGGGCAGTTAACAGATCATAAATATATAAATTTTTACTTGCGAAGATCTCTTATTAGATATTTGTCAAATAAAGTTTAAATTTTTTTACTGTTTTTACAATTTGGGGGAAGGTTACTGCTTATAGATCGGAAAAATAATTTACATATTATCACTGTCTATAAACGGACCAGCTTCTTTCAACTAATTAAAGTGCCTTTAAGTACGGTGTCTCCTTCACTTTACCCTTTTTAAATATGTATGGGCGTACATATGTAGATACGCACATAATCAAGCGCCTAACAACAATCACACACGTCAAAACAAACTACCGCGCAAAAAGAAGATGACAAAAAAACTAACAAAGCGACCAGCCAGTAGAGGGAAGACGGCGTGGGTCACTAACCATTTACAAGAACAAAGCTACTTGTAAAGGAAAACAAAATCAAGTTAAACGTTTTAACGCGATAAACAAAAATCGCATGACAACAATAAATAGACAACTGAGCAACTAAATATTCTTTTAGGGTGCACCCAACGTGTGGTCCAACCAAACCAACGAGCCCATTTTCTCTGATCTTTAACCCGCTTGTATGTCTGTAGTTTGGCTATCGAAAACGTTCATCCGCCGAGGTTAATGCCAGTAATCGGCGATGGAGTCTCTCTCCCACCACGAATCCGACAACAAATTTACGCTCCTTTACATGGCCGATGTAGTAAATATCACAAGGGCCTACTCGCTTCCGTACTTGTACCGTTCATCTTCCTTCCTGGACGGCGGAAATGTCGGCTTTTAGTTTGGCGAGGACATCAACCAGCTGGGCAGCGGTACCTCCCCAATTAAAGGACCGGGCATTCCAGGAACAAGCCCTCAAATCATAATCCTTTTTTCGTCCTGTATTTAGATTTCGTATGGCTATTACAGTAACCCCAAACGACGACACAGCTTTAAAATCAATGGTAAAAAGTAGAATGAAATGAAAGCTCATAGAGAAAACTGAGCACTTCGCCTGGAAGATAACTTACAAATAGCCTGTACTTTCAACAAGAATAACTTAAAATGAAATCAAGAAATTTTATCGGCAGCTTGTGCCCCGCTAATGGCAATATCAGAACCATTTTTATAAACACGTCAACCAATTCCAATCTTTACTGCAACAATTTCGAGGCGAAATGAAAAACAATGTTAGCCCAGTAGAAAAATTAGCAAATCTAATATATAAAATTCTCGTGTCACAGTTTTCGTTGCCATACTCCTCCGAAACGACTTGACCGTTTTCGATTTGAAATGTTAGGGGTAGTCCACCCCTAAATTTTTATTTTTATTTTTAAGACAAAATTTTTAATTTCTATTTTTTTATGATACATACAAAAATACATGCAATCCTCAATTTTCACCCTTCTACGATCAACACTCATTTTTAATAGCCATTATAGTAATTTAATCATTTTTTCTCTCCGGTCGAAAACTGATCAATCGTCATTTAATTAGTTATCCCGCCAGACGTCTACAGGTATCACTTCTGACCCAGTAAACAGCCGGCTCCTTTCTTTCTCACTCTTCACACAGTTGTCGGCCATCATTATTGTTTATGCATCAAGTGTAGTAGTAACGTTGACAATTATTATTTTGCTATCTCAGTGTAACTCTCATATTAACTTTTAATCATTCCTATTTTATCAATAATAATTAATCAATTTTGAGTGTATTTTCCACGATTCGTTAATCAAGTGATTTTATAACCTCAAAAGTACTCAACACGTGACACGAGCTTCTAATAACAACGGATTTTGTGTTGTAAGTATTCTTTTTTTAATTTATATCGAAAATGTTGTTGATCTTTTAAAAATTTAATTTTAGTTTAATTCCATTAAAAAAATGTAATTGAACAATTAAGATTTTCGTAGTTTCCAAAAAATCAATCACTATGAATCTTTATTTTGAAATTTCAATGGAAATATTGGTTGTATGAAAAAATTATAAGAGACAAAGTTTTCATTACATTTAATTTTTTACTTTTGTCTGAAAAATTTTTCAGTAAAACTTATAACTGCGGCAAAAATCCTGGCCCTATTATACTTTTAACATTTTTTATCATTAAATAAATTCATTAATTCTATGTATGTATGTTTTGTACAGTGAACAATGCCAAGAAAACGCAAAGGGGCTGATTTGAGCCGCAGTAAAAGTAAAGCTCGAAACTTGCGAAATAGCAGATCCGAAAGAACAGAAGAATAAATCCAGCAAAAAATTCTGATGCACGTGTCAGAATAGCGCAGTTACATCAATAAGAGCCAAAAGATACACGAGCTGAACGCAATGAAGTCAGAAGATTAGAACAACGACAATCACGCCGTTTCACAGTCAATAGACGAAGAACAAATGACCAACAACGACAACAGAAACATCGAGCATTTATATCTGATTCATTCCTGCGTCTAGCATTCCTCTATGAGCCCGATATTGAATATTATGCTCATTCAAAAGTGGTAATTAGTGCTATGGACAAGGAATGTATGTATTGTCATGCTCTGAAATTCAAAAATGAGCCAGCTGGGATGTGTTGCGCGTCAGGAAAAGTGCAACCACCTGAAATTGAAACACCACCTGAACCATTGAACCGCTTACTTATCGGCACAGATCCAGATTCTAACGTGTTCCTGAAGTCAATTCGAAGATTCAATTCATGTTTTCAAATGACATCGTTCGGAGCAACAGAAACAGTTCGAAATACTAATGCAAATGGTCAACAATTCAATTCGACATTCAAAATTAAAGGCCAAGTTTATCCTAAAATGGGCTCACTGCTGCCAATGTCAAACGAACCACATAAATTCTTACAAATCTACTTTACGGGCGGCGAGGATTCCGGAAGCACAAAGAGTTGTTGAAAATATTCAAATCCCATATGCACTAATTACAAAGCGATAATCACGCTATCGTCATTAATCCTGATAAAACACCAGCTGGAGAGCATATTCGTTGATTCAATGCACCCGTTGTTGATGATGTTGCTGGAATCATGGTTGGCGATTGTACAGCTGCACGAGAAATTGTGATTCGTAGAAGAAATAATAATCTTCAGTTCATTGCTGACACACATCGTTCATATGGCGCTCTCCAATATTCGCTGATATTCTGGAAGGGACAAGACGGATATTGCATAAACATAAAACAACGAGATCACGTATCAGGTACTTCATTGATTATTAATTTGATCATTAGTCATTTAAAAAAACAATTAAGTTATTGAACGTAATAAATTTAAATTAATTTTTATAAACAAATATTACAGGAGCTGAAACAAACAGGAACGTTAGCTCAAAGGATTATTATGCGTACCGATTAATGATTAGACGTGGCCTGGACAAGGTCATTTTACGATGTCGTGAGCTTTTTCAACAATTCATAGTCGACATGTATGCGAAGATTGAGAGCGAACGACTACGATACTTACGATATATTCAACAAAAGCTGCGCGCGGAAGAGTACATTCATTTTCGAGGCGCTATCAACAACAACGCCGACGTCACCGAAATAGGTAACCATGTCATTTTATCATCATCGTACGTAGGCAGTCCACGTCATATGCAATAATATATACAGGATGCTCTGTTTTTTGTGCGCGAATATGGACGACAATGTTTATTTATCACGTTCACATGTAATCCAAAATGGCCTGAGATTACATCTTTGCTACTGCCTGGCCAAAATGCAATACATCGCCATGACATTACAGCACGTGTGTTCAGACAAAAGTTGAAGTCTTTAATACGTTTCATTACTAAATCACACGTTTTCGGTCCCACACGTTGCCGGATGTATTCGGTTGAGTGGCAAAAGGGAGGATTACCTCATGCACACATTTTGGTTTGGTTCATCGACAAAATCCGTCCTGAAGAAACCGATAGTATCATTTCTGCGGAAATTCCAGGTCAATCCACTGACCAACTGCTGTTTGATATTGTTAAAACAAACATGATTCATGGTTCATGAAGTCCTGAAAATGGCGAACAGTCATTTATTAAAAATATCATCAACACAGACATTGACGTTGACAATCGTTGGGTGGTGCCATATTCGCCTCTGCTGAGCAGGACATACAATGCTCATATTAATGTTGAGTTCTGCAGTTCTGTGAAGAGCAAAAAATGCATATGGCTGTGTTTAGAGTGGAAAATACTAATGTGAATGCTCCTCCAGTGAATATAAACGATGAAATAACGCTCTACCAAATTTTTCGGTACATCAGCTCCAATGAAGCTGGTTGGCGTATCTTTGGTTTTCCAATTCATGAACGGGATCCAGCAGTTGTTCAGTAAGCCATCCTTCTTGAAAACGGTCAGCGTGTATTTTTCACGAACGAGACAGCGATTGATCGTGCAATAAATCCATCTAAAACTACACTCACTGCATTTTTTGAATTTTGTAATCGTGCGGATGATTTTGGTGCCTTGCACGAACATTACTCTATTCACAAGTACCACGCTATTTCACATGGACTCAAACAAAAACATGAATGCCCCGCAAGCAAGGCTCACCAGTTGCTGCATGTCTCAATTTATTTAAATCAAACGCCTTGGGGCGATTATTTACAGTCAATCCAAGACACACTGAGTGCTTTCATCTTCGACTGTTGTTGGTTAATGTTACTGGCCCATTTCAAGATATACGTAAAGTGAATGGGCAACAATATCCAACGTATAAAGATGCATGCCTTGCACTCGGCTTGCTGGAAGACGACAACCAGTGGGAATGCATGTTTGCTGAAGTTGCATTGAACTGTACAGCAATACAAATTCGTCTACTATTCGCTATAGTGTTGACTACATGTTTCCCAGCCCGAGCACAGATATTATGGGAAAATCACTAAGATTCAATGACTGATGATATATTGCATCAACATCGCATACGGTGCCACGATCTAACCCTAACATTTAGCGACGAAATGTACAATGAAGCATTGATTGCTATTGAGGATCTTTGCATTGTCATTGCCAACTTACCACTAAGTGATTTCGGTATGAATTCGCCAAATCGAACTGCATCTGATTTAATGAATACTGAAATGAATCGTGAACTGCAGTACAGTACGGTAGAAATGGCAGCGATTGTTGCCCGAAATGTCCCACTAACGAATGAGGAGCAAAGAACCATTTATGATCGCATTATGCTCGCAGTTTAGCTGAACAAGGTGGGTTCTTCTTTTGGGATGCACCGGGTTGAACTGAAAAAACATTCGTTATTTCGCTAATTCTTGCTGAAATACGATCGAATAATGGCATTGCATTGGCCGTTGCATCATCGGGCATTGCAGCAACTTTATTGGATGGAGGTAGAACAGCTCATTCAGTATTTAAGCTGCCACTAAATATTCAGAATAACCCTGAAGCAGTATGCAACATTAAGAAACAATCGTCCATGGCCGCTGTGCTGAAACGGTGTAAAATTATTATTTGGGATGAATGTACTATGGCACATAAATATTCATTTGAGGCGTTGAACAGGACATTGAAAGATATTAAAAACAACGACTAACTATTTGGCGGAACTCTGTTCAACATACGCTAATGAGATCAACGCTTGCTTAAAATCATCTCCATTGTGGCGTAATGTTGAAAAATTACAGCTAAAAATAAATATGCGCGTTCAAATCCTTCAAGATCCATCCGCTGAAACATTTTCAAAACAACTCTTAGATATCGGTGATGAAAAAGTTGCTATAAATGAAACTGGATACGTAAATTTACCGACCGATTTCTGCACAATCGCTGATTCGCAAGATACTCTCATTGAACAAGTATTTCCCTATGTACACATACAGTACATAAATCATGAGTGGCTTGCAGAAAGAGCGATTTTAGCGGCAAGAAATGTAGAAATTGAACATTTAAATCTGTAGATACAAATATTATTGCCAGGGAACTTCTTATCATATAAATCTATTGATACAGTTTGCGACGACAGCGAAGCAGTAAATTTTCCCACAGAGTTTTTGAACTCACTGGATTTGCCAGGCATGCCACCGCATAATGTACAATTAAAGGTTGGATCTCCAATTATCTTGCTTCGTCATTTCAACCCGCCCCGGCTGTGTAACGGTACGCGATTAGTCATTCAAAAATTAAAGAAAAACGTGATCGAAGCCAGGATTTTCATACCACGGATTCCTATTATACCTTTAATTCAAATGTGTTCAGTTTCCGATTAGATTGGCATTTGCAATGACTATCAACAAATCCCAAGTCCAACGATGTCTGTTTGTGGCTTAAATTTGAGAACACCATGTTTTCCACACGGACAATTATACGTGGCATGCTCTTGAGTGGGTAAACCATCCAGTTTGTTTGTGTTAGCTAAAGATGGACTAACAAAAAATATTGTTCACGCTATAGCATTAAGAGATTGATATTGTTTAATAGTGTTGCTGTATAGGAAAAAATTATAATAACTTAAAAATAATGTTTGCCTTTTGTTATTTTTATATTCCTTCATCGTTCACAGCGCTCCGTGCTTATTTCACGCATATACCTCATTCTTACATATATACAATATACACATTCTAACATACATACATACTTACAATAAGTAAGCTATTTTTTGTCAACACTAGAAATTACTAGGAAATTATTTATATGGCAAAACAACGTTTGCCGGGTCAGCTACTTATACTATATTATTTGGCGCTTTGTAACCGCTGAAGCTATTTTTCAGGCGAGATCTTCCTCCCATTTGCGGTTTGTTTTGAAGTTTTCTTCAACAAATAGAGAGACTTAGAGTTTATACCAAGCCGCCTCCGAATAGCTGATGGTTTTTTTTACTACGAGCCTTTATTTCATGTCCAAAATACAATCGGAGAGGTGGATATTCCTTGCCGAGGTCCTACCGAAATTAGAATAAATTTTTATTTAAATTAATTTTCCATAACATTTGGTTTTTTCGTGGCACCGGGATATGGACCTTCCCACTCGGCTATCCCGGTCGCCATCAGATTCAGCAGATTATACTATCACTAGAAATATCAGATACAATTCTTTCCGCAGAAAATGAAATATCTGGAGTTCTTGATCATCATCATCATGTGCACGTATTACACGTGACCTTAATTGGCTTTCTTGATATTGAAAAAATAGTAAGAATTGCGTGAAAAGATCCGCAAAATATTACTCCACACTTGAAAAGAAATGGAGCCAAAACTTTCATTTGAATTCCCACGGGCGCTAGTTAATCTAGGTACGTTACTGCTGTCACCATTGTCTTCCCGACTATCCGTTATGTATGTATATGAATTAGTTTTTGAATTTCTCTACACCTGTAAGTGCGATTACCGATTCTTATAATATACATATATCATGCAAATCATGACTATTGATTTCATTTAATGATAGATTTTATAAAGAGCTTTGAAGACACGGTGATTCTCCACAACAGTTTACTTTACTTTCTCAACGTTTACGTTGGTTATTGATGGGCGTACATACATATGGTCGAAACGAGTGTTGCGTTAGTAGAAGAAAGGGATTTACAAATGTTCGTATTTTTTTGAAATATAAAAATTTGTATCTTTCATATTTACCATATATGATTGGCCATTTTGAATTTTTGAAATTTGTCCTCTAGAAAACACATGTTTTACTGCATCTTTTCTTAAAAAGAATAATTCAGCATTTAGCTTTTGATGTACACAATTTTTAATTTAAAAATATGACCAGAGCGTCGCTTTTAATAATGCACCTTTCAAACAGGCAAAGACAAAAAAGCCTAATAGAAAAAAAATATCTAAAAAGCAACAGAAGCAAGTTTCTAATTATTTTAGTACGGCAGTTTAAAAGGCATTAGGTGATTGCTGATAAGCAAAATTAATTATAGAGAAAATGTAATAATATAAATTTACATTTAAAAAAAAAGTGAATTGAGACTCTTTCGCCTATATCACTATGTATGTAAATACAAAAAACACTATATAGTTACCAAACATGTGCAAATAATCAAAATCATTTTAAAATTTTTTAGCTATCGCGATGATGTTTTAAATGAAGCTTCAAGTTATGCATTTTAGTTTTGAAATTGAAAATAACAGCACCAACATTGCAATAAAAATAGGTACGAACATATGTATATTTTGATATTTATTACTCTGTGAGTGAGTTCCAGAACTGGTCTCATATTGTATATTCCTGCCTGTAAACAATCACTGCTTACCAATGCACATGCCATGATGGTAAAATGCCAGGGGACTCATTGTGGTGTATATATATTTACACTAAAACACACATACACATATATTTCATATACAAAATCATTGAAGTCTGAAAAAATCCTAAAAACGTGTCAGATTGCGTGATGCTGGTGTGACAGGCTAGTAAGTTACCACCGATCAGTAGCAGTAGCAGCAGGTTAAATTGTCCCTCGTGGCGATGATGTGGCTGATGATTATGATGTTAGTTCATTGTGGTAGTAGTGGTGATGATTGTGGTGGGTTCCATGTCGACAGCAGCGACGGTTTTTGAGTGGCGTTGAGTGGTTGATTGTCACAACTTCATGCTTTATACGAGTTTCCAACCGCTTGATTATTTGAAGAGTGCACATGAAATGTG